CAGAGCGGAACTGGGCTCAACGCGGCCAAAATGGCGCTGGAGGCATCACAAATCGACAACAGAGTCACGTCAATCGAAACTGTGGTACCAGGTAACGCAGGGCGTGCCCACTCAGGTGCCAAATAGTGACGCAGGTACGGTGTGGGAGAGCGACGGCTGACAGGGATACTTTTTTGGTTGGCGGCTCCGAGCGGTCAAGTTGATCCGGGGCGCGGTACCAACGAAAAAAACTGACAGGGATACGCGAAGCGTCAAGAATTGTTATGTAGGCTGCGAGGGGGCGCTTCGGAATGCACATGTTCAACATACCCCAAGATTGTCCTGGAACTCTCTCGGGGACTCTTGAGCCGTCGGGGGGTCGGGCAAGAGTCGAACCTCACGTCATCGAACAAGCAGAACTCTGTTCACTTTCTCGTAGGCGCCTCTTCGGCGCCTGGAGCACATTCAGGGCGGCCCAGAAGGGCCCCCAGCTTTCCGTCCAAGAGGGCCCCCGAGCCCCCCTCGAGGGGCACGGAAGGGGCGAGAACTAGATCCCGAGATGGCGCCTGAGATGGCCCACAGGCCTCCGAAGAGCTCACCTAAGTCCCCCTATGAGCCCCAAGCAGGACTCCAGGAGGCCCCCAAAAGGCCTGCAAACGGCTTCCCAAGTTCAAGAGGCCCCCGACTCGCCATCGCTCGGACGTGCATTCCCCATGCAACTTTCGGTTTCGTGCGTGCTTCTTTTGCCAGATAGTCCAAGACTCTCCTCGATGGCCCTCGCTGATGAACAAATGCACACGTCCGAGCGATGCCAAGCCAAAAGGCTCCCAAAGGCATCCACGAGGCCTCCTGTCTGCCAAGCATGCCGTGGCGGGAGGAGTCGAAGGCCACTGGCTAGCGTTGAGCAACTTTGGGGCATGCTCGTCCACTGCTGCTAATCGGAAGAGTTCACGGTCAAGCCGTTTGGCCACGAGCTAGGCCGATGTGAAATTCGGATCCCAACGCCCTCCTGGGCGTCGTACTTCCCAATGCTTCAAATCAATCCGAGTCGTGGCCGGAGCGCTGCTCGTGGGCTTCCAAGAGCTCACTTCTGTTTTGCGCTTAAGGCGCTTCCCCAGCAGGAACGGCAGCGTAGGGGCCACGATGGTCAGTTGCCTCCGTAGAGATGGCTCCCACAACAACGCGCTCGGCGCAAATCGCACACAACTGCGCCCCGAGAGAGCCCTAGGTACACCCTGGTCAGGCGCGCTGCCGCGAAGCGCTTCGAATCACTAGTGTAAAGTACGCGGAAAACGGGAGCACCGCCCGATGCGCGTGAAACGCTCCCCGTGTACCCTTGGACATCGGGCAGCACAAATGACGCTGAGCTGTCGTGAAACACTTCCTTTGTGCCCTTGGCTAGCGGGCCGCGCAAATACTTCAGGAAGCGGCACGGAGGACACGGCCCGCCGCGCTGCTGTTCCTCTCGAACTAAAGCTGGACTAACCCCATGCCCACGAGAATGACCCCTATGGGGATGAGAAAGTCCGGGGTCCTGGGAGAACGGTGAACGGCTTCCAGGAGATATCGATGTTGACGAACCAACAACACACACCCATACCCACAGGGGGATCGGAGAGGGATATGGGTGCGTGTTGTCGTATGGGGGTCCCCGCTCGAACGGGAGCGTTCCCCAGGGTCCGACAACCCGCACCCATACCCATAGCCAGTCCTCCTCCCAACGACCTCCCTATGGATATGGGTGTGTGTTGTTCGTTCGTCAGATGTTGTCGGTGCTGAATGACCTCAGGAGGTGATCTGACGAAGCCTCCCCAAAGGGCCTGCCCGGAGGACAATTTGCGCACGGGAGCCGCGAGGCCCCGGCTCAGTCCGCGCGTGCCCCTCCACCCCGCTGGGCCTCACAGGAGCCCACGAAGACGGCGATATATATATATATATATATATATATATATATATATATATATATATATATATATATGAAAATATACACATCTACATCTACATCTACATCTACATCTACATCTACATCTACATCTACATCTACATCTACATCTACATCTACATCTACATCTACATCTACATCTACATCTACATCTACATCTACATATTTTTCCTTTTTTTTGTTGCTTTTTTTTTGGGGGGGGCGCGCTTCGCAGCCTCCCAAGGAGCTGCGAGGTCTGGGCTGGGTCGACGTGTGCCTTCACTCGGCTGGACCTCCCAAGATCCAGCGAGCGTGGCGACGATTGCGCGCTCCGCAGCTCCAAGGGGGGCCTGTGGGGTCTCGGCTAAGGCCGCCCGTGCCTCCACCTCGCTGGACCTCCCAGGAGCACACGACAGTGGTGACAATCTGCGCACTTCGCAGTTCCCCCCCCTAGGCAGCCCCGACGTCTCGGCGGGGTCCGCGCTTGCCTCCCGCCGGACCTCCCGAGAGCCCACGAGCATGTCGACAACGGTGAGCTCCGCAACCACCCAGGGAGCCTCGACGTCTCGGCTGGGTCCGCGTTTGCCTCCCGCCGGACCTCCCGAGAGCCCACGAGCATGTCGACATCGGTGAGCTCCGCAACCACCCAGGGAGCCTCGACGTCTCGGCTGGGTCCGCGTGTGCCGCCACTCCGCTGGAACTCCCAAGGAGCCCGCGAGCGCAGCGACATGTGTGTGCACTTCGCAGCCGCCCGGGGGACAGCGCGGGAGGAGGAGGGGGAGGGGGAGGAGGAGGTGAGGAGTGGAGACCACTGTGCCCGTATTCAAAACGAGAACCCGACACTAAATGGGGTGGGAATAAAAAAAGTGTTGGGAGCAATCTGCATTCCATGGACTCATCGGTGTTCTGAAAGATCGACCGTGCCCGACTGGTAACACCCCCTCGAGCCTCGACCCTGTTGGCAACCGGATAAGCTTGTAGTCCTCATGGGAATACCACGGGTTCTTTGTTTTTCGCTTGTGAACTCGTGGTTGATTACACATGCCTCCACCATTTCATAAGATCAATACGCTTTCCAGTGGGATTCTCCATACGACCGCACTCAGAAAGACGAACTGAACTGATCAAGCACTCTCCGACGGCAAGCTGGCAACCGCTAAAATCGCCCAGGCCTGCATCGTGTGCGGCGCCCCTCCTCCCTCACTCTCCAGCATTCTTCATAACTTGCTAACTCACCACTGCCGTGCCCCGGGGCGTGTGGATAGGACGGGCCGTGCGTTTCGCCTGAGACGTCCCCACCGTGTATGATCCGTAAGCTGAGAGTTTGCAAGATCTTCGAAGCTGGAGGCAAGGCACTGCTCAAAACCGTGCTCTCGCCGAAGCGCCGCGCGCACTCGTCTTCAACACTGGCGAGACATTCGCTGATGGATGAAGGGTGGTTTTCAATATGAGGCTCTCGTCTAAGCGCCGCGCGTATGATTCTCACAACTGTGCAAGAGATTCACGGATGGGAGGGGCGGGTGGTTTTCAAAGTGTGTCTCTCACTGCACCGCCGCGCAAGTTCGCCTTCAAAAACTGCATGGGTGTCACGGATGGAGTGCGGGTGGTTTTGGGAATGTGGCTCCTCTTCCCGTGCCTCCTCCTCCACCTCCCCCAATCCTGTTCCTTCTACATGCATCCTCCCTGTCGCAAACTCAGACGTGTCCGTAGGCCAGGCCAAACGTTTCCCCTGAGACTTCCCAATCGCTTATGATCCTGAGGCTTGGCATGACGTGTGCAACAGCTTCAAAAATGGAGGGCGGGCCGCAGTCAAAAATTAGCGCCGCGCACATTCGCTCAACAAGTCTGCAGCAGCTGAAACGACTGACGGCGGCCCTCTTTCCAGTGGGGCTCTCGCCGTAGCTCCGCACACATGCGTTATAAACGTTTGCAGCAGCTTCAAGGATGGAGGGCGGACCATGTTCATGATGCGGCTTTCGCCCCAGCGCCGCGCACATTCGTCGTTCAAGCCTGCAACAATTGGCAGTATTCGCATAGTCGAAGCTAGTGGAATCCGGCCCTGGCACAATTTTTTGGGTTGTCAAGACGCAACCATCATATGAATTCGAGGTGCTGAGGTCCCGAAAGTGGTGTTCTGGCACGGTTCAAGACTGACAGGACGCATCGGTCTCGTTGACTCGCGGCGTTGAAGCCCCAAGGATGATCTGTTTTTTGGCACGGTTTGACCATCCCAAGCAAGTCTGGAAAATGAGCGGTGTGCGAATCCTATCAGGTTTAGAAGCAGAGCTGAATTGGAATAGGATTACTTCTTAGTCCTGGCGGAGCATCTCTCACTTTTGGAGCCTGGGGGAGTGAAACCCGTTCTTTTTGAATTCTTCTGACGGTTCCTTCTCAGTGGGCCACTACCTGCAATGGAAAGAACTTCCAGGGAACTAAGGGGAGAGAATATGGAAGGAGGCCTTCTTGCAACATCGTTGATGCGTCTTGGGTTTGCGCTGGTCCTCCTCCTCCTCCTCCTCATCCTCCTCCTCCTCCTCCTCTCCGCGTTGCTCGTCCTCCTCCTCCGCCTCCTCCTCTTCGTCTTCCACTTGGCCGCCCCTCCCCTTTCTCCTCCCCATGCTCCTCCTCCCCCTTCCCTCTGATCTTCCCTCCTCCACCCCTCCTTGATTGGCGGAGGGGCGCCGTCACCGCCAGTTTACGTAGAGCGGATGAGCTCGGCGAGGCTCCTCTGTAATCCATCTCCTTGTCGAGTCTCGTCGTCCTCGTCCTCGTCCTCCTCCTCTTCCTTTTCTTCCTCCTCCTCCTCCTCCTCCTCCTCCTCCTCCTCCTCCCCAAACCACCTCAATGGGGGTAGTGGGAGGAACGTTGGCGCGGAATCGGCGGCACATCATCGATAGCGCCCTGATGACGAAACAGCACGAGACAGACACCCGAACACCGATCGGCAATGAACGGGCGACTCGGGGTCGATGCTCCGCTCCACCCCTGAGGCAGTCTCCCTTTCGGCGCCCCTAATCCTCCTCCTTTCTCCCTTCCTCCCCCCACCTCCTACAGTGGCGACAAAAAAATCGCCCGCTCGCTCGCGCCGAGCATCAGAGCATCAGCCACCCGGCTTGGTGACGTCCAGGCGGCACAACATGCACCGCCGGTCCCGCTCGAGCCAGGCGTGCACGCAGCGCCTGTTCAGAAGTTGGCAGCCGTATCACTGGGGCCCGGTTCCCCTGGCTGCTGGCTTCGTCTGGGGCCACCTTGCGCCACTGGGGCCACCCTGGCGGACTTGATGCCCCCCTGGGCCAAGACCCTTTCAACATCCCTGGCCTGTGGAAAGTGTGCATGCACGGCAACCGGCAGAGCTCCTCCCCGATCTGCATGTCGTCCAAGCAGAAGGTGCAAAGGCAAGAGACAGCCTCCATGTCCTGTCGGGGGGGGAGAGGAAGGATCCACAAAAGGTAGCCTGGGAATCAGCCGCGCGAAGCCCGCTTCGTGGGCGTTCCGAAGCACGGGGTGGGAGCATGTATCCAAGAGGGTGACAGGCGACGGGGCCGAAACCTACTGCAGGTAGCAGATTTCGTACACCCCCCCTCCCCCCAAGCCGCCCGTTCGCTCTTCCGCCCGAGACCCAAATTTGCGCATACCCACCGCCTAGGGAGTCGGTGTCCCAGGACACCATGAGGCAGCGGATTTATGTTGTGCCCATCGTACTTCAGGACCACATCACAGAAAAAATTCCGAACACCCGGGAAGCACGATCGAAACAGTGTCTGCCCGACACGCTAGCGAAGTGTCGCCTCCCAGGGCCCAACGCGTGAAAACCCACCATTTTGCTACTCTGCTGGCGCTTGACACTACTTCTGGCGCGAAAACAAATAGGCATCTCATAATATTCAGTCGGGCATGTCCCTCTACAGGAGAAAACAGCAATTTTTCCTCGCACTTCCGATTTGTCATCAAACATCCGCCTGCAGCAGGACATGCCCGACCTAATCATAACGGTGGATGGGGATGCCTTGGGGCCCCCCGCGCGGCCCGAGAAGATCCACCCCCGCTGCTTCCCGGGGGCCTCGGGCATCGGCACCCCGGGCGGCCGAGCCGCATCCGCCGCCGTGCCTCGTGCACGGCGGGGCGCCCTCAAAATGGATGCTCTCCGGCCGTCTGGTGCAGTCTCGGGGGCGGCCAAGAGGGGGGCGTCCAAGATGGGGGGGCGCCAATCATGGCCAGCGGCACGTGCGCGGCCCAGGTGGGGAGGCCAAGGACGTGATGAAATGAGAAAAGGCGCCGAAAAATCTGAGGAAACGTCATGGCCCACGCCATGATACCCACCCCCTAGTCATCACCCCACTCTTTGCCGCCCACGGCAGGAGGAGCTCGACCACAAGAAACCTTCCAGAGGAGACCCAACCTTGAGACCCCACGACGTCCATGGCATTTTGGTGTGGGAACGTCACGCTTTCCACAGCACAACCATCGACACCCAAGTGAAGAAACCCAGGGCACCGTGGAGGCGAGCAGGGCGTCTCTTGGCACGGGTTTACACTGTAAAGTTGACCTTCGTGTTTTCTAGGGTCGCCCCTCCCCCCTCCTGGAATGACCGCCCTCCGAAAACAGCAACCCTCTCTGGAGCTGGGTCGGGGCCATTTCCCACAAGGAAGTGTTGTGGTGAGAGGCCCCTGGCCGAGTCAGTTGCCTGTCTATAAGCGCCACCTTTCTCAGCTCCCAGGAATCCGCGGGCTTCCTTTTCTGTCCTGCTCCTGCTCTTGCCTGCTCTCTCTCTCACTCTCTCTCTCTCTCTGTCTTGTTTTCTCTCTTTCCCCTCTGGGGCCCAAGCCGTTCTGGGTCAAGCTAGGGGTCGGCCTCAATTTCGGGTGTTGCTAGAAGTGCCCCTGACCCAAGGTGCCCCAGGATTTCCAAGGAGGTCCAGCACGGCCTCCAGAACACCCATCACGAAGCCCAGAGGGCCGCAGAGGCCCAAGCATTGGGCGAAAAGCTGGGGGCAACTTGGGCCAAGGGCACTTCTAGCAATACTCGACAGTTGGCCTAGTGGGCACTACGGATGAGCATCGTTTAACCGATCCCCATCCCCACCAGCGTGGGCTGGGGCCCACTGGCTGATCTACCCCTCTGATGGGAATATAGGCTGGTCTTTTTGACGTTCGAGGGGCATATGCCCAACTGAGGTGGTGAGACGATGGGGCTCGAGATGTGGATGGGGACGGGGATAGGGATCGGTTCAACGATACTAAGTGGAAGCCTCCTCCGGAGGCCCAGATGATTCCAGGAGGCCCCTAATCTTACACGGGGCGTCGCCCTGCCGTGCCGCGCGGCACACGGCAGCTGGCAGAGGAGGGCGCGCGGCCTGCGCCGACCGCCGCCGCCAGGCAGGCGGGCAAGGTCGGCCCGCTGCGTGGCATCGGCAACCGCCCGCCGCGCAGCGTTCTGCTGGCCTTAGGTCGGGCATGTCCTCCTACAGGCGGAGCTTGGACGAAACAAAACTACACAACGAAGGCCCAACACACAGGCAAAAAAAATGGAAACACCGTCCCCAGACTAATTACTTCTGCACTATCTCTGAACATGCACTCCTCCTGTAGAGGGAGGGACACGCCCCACTTGCTGCTGGCCGCCCACCCACGCGCCGCCCGAGCGAGCGCGAGAAGGACACGCGGGCCCGCCAGTGCGCCGGGCTGCGGGCTGCTGGCGACCGGGCTGCTGCTGCTCGGCGGACCCGCGCTGGGTGGCACCCGGAGCCTGCCCAGACCCGCCAAGACGAGGGGGGGCCCAGTGAAGTGCGGCGCTCGCGCGCGACGCGGCGCAGAGGTCGCCGAGGCCTGCGAGGAGGAGGGGTCCGGCGAGCTCGTGGCGCCGCCCGCGGGGCCCCCCCCCCTGGCCTGGCGTGCCCCCCGAGCCGGCGGCCCCGGCCACAAAGGAAGGGCATCAGCCACTCCCGGCCCCAGCCGTCAGCCCGGGAGGCCTCCTGGATCAGGGGCTGGGGCGCCCCAAGGCGGCCAGAATGCCTCCCCGAGCCTGCTCCAGAGGGCCTCCAGACGCCCCAGAACGGCCTCAAGATGGCCTCCAGAACGGCACCCAGGCACCCAAGATGAAGCCCCAGAGGCTCTCGAGAGCCACACGCATCTTTTCCCTCGGTTCCTGACAGATTTCGCCAGGCAAGTGCTGCATGATTGCTCATTTCGAGAGCCCAAGGCGGCCCGCAAGGTCTCCAAGAGGGCTCCAAGATCGCTCTTCAGGGTCCAAAGATGACCGGCAGACGGCACAGGGGGCTCCAAGACAACGCAAGAAACCTCCAACCCAAGAGGCCTCTGAGAGGCTCCCCTTCAGACCAACAGAAGCCTCCCAACCGTTTTTTTCTTCCCAGGGTAACGGCCGCTACCCGAGGGAGAGGGTGGGAGGTTCGGGCAGGAGGGTAACGGTAACGTCGGACACATGCAGGAGTCAAACAATGAGCCAGAAAAGTCAAAAAAGAGCACGAGACATCGCCACCGTGCTATTTTTGCTGCTGTCCGTGAGCATGCCCCCCGTGGAAGGACGTGCCCGACTTGAAACACCGGCCACGGACCGTGCGGGCCCCGCGGTCCTCGTGCAGGTCCGGGTCCGCGACGAAGCTGATGGTGAACTGGCCCACGCGGCCCGCGTCCAGGCCCCAGCCCTCGGCCCTGCCTGCGGGGCGGGCCGGCAGAGGGCGAGGAGTTGTTGTTCCCGCGCTCACGGAATTAAGGGGGCCACACGCGAGCCCTACCCCTACCCCCCACGATTTCTGAGCGAAGTGAACCCCACCCTCCCCCTCAGAAATCGTGTGGGGGGTAGGGGCAGGGTTCGCACGTGGCCCCCTGAGGACGGGCGAGGACCTCGCGGCCACCTGCGACCACTCCCCCATGGGAGCCCCCCGCAGCGCCTCCGGCGGCGGAGGGAGCGGAGGCGATGGCAGCGGCGCCCAATGGACTCGAGGAAAGACCATTCCTCTGCCCTCGACAGTGCGCGAAGGCGAGGATCAGTTGGCGAATAAGGGTGTGGCACGAGCTGTTCCGTCACTGGGGGCTCCTGTCCCAGCAGAGGCCTCCCAGATGGGCTCCGAGCAGATGGGGTCGGAGGATCGCGCCGCATCGTCGATTCATCGTCGACCCATCGTCGATGCATCGCCGACGTCGGCGGTGCATCGGCGACGACGGCGTGGAGAAAATCGGTCCCCACATCGAGCCGCATCGCCGATGCATCGGCGATGCGGCGCAATCCTCCGACCCCATCTACTCGGACACCATCTAGGAGGCCCAGTCCCCTAACGGCTGGAACGTTTATACCCCGACGTGCCACAGCAGGCAGACACTTGCCAGCCGCCTGGGGGGCAGGCGTCCCCGACGGCGAGAAGCATTATTTCAGACTGCTCTTCGCCCGCGAAGAGCGGGAGGGGGTGGGGGGGGGGGGGCGAAAGAGGGACGCGGCGGCCGACGCTGACAAAGGACGCCTGGGTCGCCTTCTCGCCACGCCTCGCCGCGGCTCTGAGCCGCCGTGCGGCGCCCAAGAGACGGAGAGACTGCTCGCCCAGCCGCAGAATGGGAGTGGAGAACTGGGGAGGCACAGCGACGTGCTCTTCCCTGGCAGCCGCCCTGGCTGATTCGGAGGGGGATCCGGGGCGGAGGTGCGGAAAGGGCGAAAGAGAGAGAGAGAGAGAAGCGAAGCTCAGTGAGCAAGCAGGCCACCTGAACAAAGCCCGACCCGCTGGCAGGCGGCGTGGCGCGGCGCTCGAGCGCCCCGCGTGCAGGACCAAATGGTGTCCGGCCACCACCTCATGGGACTTGCCTGTAACGTGTCGGTGGTATGGTCCTGAGGGTGCCCACCACGGTGCCCAGCGTGCCAACAGACACCCCCGTGACCCATGAGCACGATAGTGCCCTGAGTGCCTTAGGGAGTCGCCAGCAGCCCCGAGGCCCGAGTTTTGCTCGCGGCTCACGCCGAAGCGAGCCCGCTGGCGTCTGACGTGGGCGGGAGCCGCTGACATGTGGCAAGGCTCGGATCGGGTGGCGCCCGCCCAGGCAGTGAGCTGCGCGGATGAAGAGGCGAGGAGCGACTCAGCTGGCGGGCACGTCTGGAATCACCGCGCCGTCTGGGGTCCCCTCCGGAGCCACTCGTGTGGAGACTCGCATTCTCACGTGAGCGACCCACGAACCCGGACAGGGATATCCGCCAAGACCGCGCGCTGCCTGCTCATGCGCGTCGTCGGCGTCGTCGCCCTCTTTCTCCTCCTCCTCCTCCTCCTCCTCCTCCTCCTCCTCCTGCTCCTCCTCACCTTCGCCTCGCATCCTCCGAATCCCCCTCTCCTGTCGCCCATCGGAAAAACCCGCATTCCAGAAGCAGAGAACACGTTTGTCTATACCATGCGTGGGAACTTGGCAGGCTCCAGAAAAGGACTTGACAGGACACGCGGCGACAGCGACAGCGAGGGCGAGGGCAGCGAAAACAACGGCGAGGGCGGCAACGACGAAGGCAAACGCGCGGCCTGCGGCCGGACCGGCCCCGCTGGAGCTCCCTCTCGGCGGCGGGGTCGGCGGCGTGCGCAGTCCCTGCGCGTGGGGGGGGGGTCGTCGCGCGCTGTCAGGGAGCTAGGGAGCTCTCGGAAGCAGTTGCCGTCGCCGTCGTCGCCTCGGACGTAGTCGCGGCCGTGGTCGCGGTAACGACAGGCGGGGGGTAATCCCGTCCTCCACCTCCACCTCCTTTTCGGAGGTCGCCTCGAACTTTCGAAAGTCGAGGGTCGATGTTGTCCCCACATCCGACATGGATTCCTTGTTTCCTCTGCACACCCACCGCGCAAGATCTCTTCCTCCTCCTCCTCCTCCACCTCCTCTTCCTCATTCTCATCATCGTCCTCCCCTTCTCTTTTTCTTACTCACACCCTCGTCTGGACTTACTCATTCACCCATTCACTCAATCATCACCCACCAACTCGTTCACTTATTTATTCACCCGTCGCTATCCTTCACCATTCATCACCACAATCGCACCGTCATCATCATCACAATCCTCATCACTATCACCATCCCATCATGGTCACCGATCATTGTCCATCATCATCACCACCAATATCATCAACTTTGTACAAACTTCTTCATTCATTCACCCACTCACATACGCGCGCACCCACACGCACACACGCATCTTGAAAATGGGTCCCACTCATTTCTATATTCATTTTTTGCGAACTCAGCGGGCTACCCTCAAACATGTAGCTGTCGTCACGTTGGGGCCCCTCAAACCCGAACATGGAGGTTTCCAACAGGAGCCGCGTCTGTGAGTGAATTGCGAGGAACTTTCGAACGGGAGCCCCCTCCCGATGTGCCCCGCGCGTCACGATTCTGATTCCAGCGGGGTCATCCTCACACGTGTATCTGTCATCAATGTTGGGTCCCCCCCAGGCCTGAATACGGAGGACGTTTTAAGCGGGAGTCTCGCTTGTGAGTGAATTGCGAGGGAATTTCAGGCGGGAGCCCCCTCCCTATGGGTCCTGCACTGCACGCTTTCAATCCCTGCGGGTCGCCCTCAAACCTGTGATTCTGGTCAGTTTGGGGCCCTTCTTGCCTGAATATGGAAGACGTCTCAAGCGGGAGCCTCCTCTTCAGTGAGTGAGCTGCGGGGACGTCTCAGGCAGGAATCCCTAGTCTCTGGGTGTCGCATTTCGCATTTTGAAACCCAACGGGCCATCCTCAAACCTGTAACCGTCGTCACCTTTAAACTCTTCAGGTCTGAATATGGAGGAAGTCTTGGTCACGACCCGTTAATGAGTCACTTGTGCAGAAGTCTCCGCCAAGAGCCCCTTGCCAATGGAGCACATGGACCCAGTCACACATACGCGGGAACGAACGTACAGCAGTGCATCGGCTACATCTGCCTACCATGCGGACAAGAGGCGGCCGTCAAATACATGGACGTCCTCGACGAAACCGATAAAACACCAGGAAGACGAATGCCGTTATCCGACCATCGCTGACTTGACCTACCTCGAGAAGACCAGCATCAAGGCATGCGGGCTCCCTTGGACCGCGCAGAGCTGCGAGGCCCCGGGGCTCAACATCATTTCAAGGATGGCGTCGCCGCGATACCACTGCCACCCGACCAGGAGGAGGTGAATGACCACGCCAGCTACCTCGCACAACAAGTACATGAGGCAGGCATCAAGGCCTTCAAACCTGACAAGGTCCACCCCAGGAAGCCATACCTACAACCAATGACGTTCGCCCTCATCCGCGCACGGAGAGCATGCCAACGGCCGCTACGACGCTCGTGACAAGAAGGCGAGAGTATCAAGACGCGGATCGGCCTCACCAGCCTAGCCTACCAGATCTACGAAACCCGCGTCCCCACCGTCAGCGCATGCGAGGCCATGGCAAACTCAAAGACCCTTTTAGCACTTCAACGCGCAGCTGAAGACATAATGCACAGCGACGCGCAGCTAGAGGGGATAGCACTGGCAGCGATTGCACTCCTACGCAGGTGATCGCCCCAATTAGCAGCCGCCATCAAGACTGACCGCTCTAAATACCTCGCGGGCATTGCCCAGAGTGCAAAGGACGCCTGCATCAACAACGACTCCACAATAGCATGGGCTGATATCAAGAGGCCCCTTATATTTGAAGGCAGACCAAGACGCATTGCAGCTGAACATCAGCGCGTCACCGGCTCTGACGGACAAGCACTACATGATCAACTACAGCAGGCGGAAGCAAAACTGAACCATTTCGCCATCGCCGAGCGTTCCAAGATCATGGGCCCGCAAGAGACCACCGACAAGCGCAACAACCGCGCCAACTACGCAGCCGCAGTCAGAGCGATGCACGACACGCCTCTCCACAACATTATCACCAGAGAAGAGACGAAGCGACAATTCACACAGGCAACACAAGGAAGAAGTGCAGGAACTGACAACCTCATCGACGACTACTGCAAGATCGCGCCGAAGGAGAGGACAACGATCCACCGCTCACTCTTAGCAACAACGCAACTTGCGACCGTGGAACCGCTATCTCACGCAGGAAGATGGCAAACGTCGCTCCCCAAGCACAACGCAACTAAACTTGACCTACAAGCGAGACGGATTATATTACTCAGCAACATCATAGCCAAGCACCACCACCACTTCCTACGCACCACACTCGAGAACACCACTTCCCAACTACTACGCGACGCACATTGCAGGGCGCGACCGCACCAGTCCACCGACGTCGTCACGCACGCGACCTTGGGAACCATGGGCTACCTCAGAGAAAGAATATCATCAGCTATGATGCTTTTCTTGGACCTCAAGGACGCCTCTTGCCGAAAGGTACTCAAGTTTGTCTACCAGCTCCCGCGCGCACCCGACCAGCTCAATGAATAATAACACGATATCAATGTGCCCGAACCATGTCTCCCCGCACTACATATTGTCATGGAAGGAGCGCCCATATTCAACCACGACGTGGACGACGATCACCCACGCGCACTACTACAAGACGCGCACACAGACATGTGGGCCACTACAAAAGGATCCGCCAGACCAGCGCAGCCACGTACTGGTGCGCGACCTGGAGCACCAGCGTCGGACCTTACCCTCAACTACCTCTTCGCCAAAGTTACACGACGCATCGCAGAGGACATGACCGTCAACAACCTTGAGATAGGCATCGACACAGGACGACAGGAAGCCATCTTCTCCAAGGGCAGGCAGACAAGAGAAGGAGTGGATGGAGGAGCACAACTTACCGACGCATTCTTCGTAGACGACATGAACGCGCACGCCGTATACGACATAGCGCGGCACAGGACATCGTCGACACGGCCGGGGCGCTCTCCAACATCATAATCAAATGGACCACGGCACATGGCATGCGACCCCGCGCCAAAAAGACCAAGATCACGCCACTCCTGCTGGGCGCCAGAGCAGAACAGCGAAGGAGCAACTCGCCAAAGACAACATCACGAACGTAGAAAAAAAGATCACCTCAACGAGCCCATCGAATTTGTCAACCACTATATACCCCCGGGTACACCAATATACGACCGGGGACAAGGCCCAGAGATACAGCGGGTAAGATCAAAGGCCACAACGAGCAGGGCCCCAGTACGCAAAGATGTCTACAAGCAAAAACGGCTGAACATGGACAACAAGACCCTCCTCAAGGATGCGCTGACCAGACCGGTCCTCTTCTAGCATTCACGCATCTAGAAACCTCTGAACCTGAACCAGGGGCAGCTCATGCCATCGAGGCAGAGTACTTTAAGGGATACAGGACGGCTGTTGGGTATACGGCCGACAATCACGACCAGAAGGTTCACGACGGCACGGTGGTTACTGATGCCACACGCCCAGATGCGAAGATCGCAATGCGTATCTTCAGGCTACGACAGTTAGCGAGACTACTACAACACGCACCAACCATACGATTACGAATCATCGACGCCATGGGGACACATGGTAGATGACGATCTACAGTGGATGTTGGTATGCCTCGGCGACGAGCCCAAGCTGCGCCCTACCGTAGACCTCGACCCTGTCCTCAGCGCAAGTCGTGGGGCGCCCAGGTCTTCACGGCCCAAGTTAAGACCGTGACACAACGCCATGTACGACGCAAACTTGACCTCGATCACATACGACAATGGCACAACAACTTGCGGCCTTACCAAGACAACGATCTTGCCCCACGATTCATGCGACAACCACAACGACAAGACGACAATGTTTTACTACTTTGAAACCACCTTTACGGAGATCAATGCATTCTACGCGCACATAGGAATGTACCGTCCAACAGACGACCACCCGACGAAATGGGCCCACGGGGCACGATGCCTGACGTGCTCCAACGGATACCACACATTTGGAAGACTGGTCAAGCAACCGACAAACATGCAATGCATGCGTGTCACCCTGGAGACGCAACACAGGCAGGCATGACGGCGCAACCACGGAAGCAGACAGAGAAGCCATACAAGACGAGCAAAGAGCCAACATTAAGTCTGGACTACTTCCACTGCGCGCACGCATAGCCGGCTATAAGGCTGACATACCGCCGATGTACATCAAGGACTACGACGCTACAAAAACTGCCCATGCTTGCCGCGCCACCAAGTGAACCAAGGACCTGTACCGACGCAAACACCAAGACCGGAAAGTACAGCCACGCAGGTCCTACTACACCTCAGCAGCGGACACAGAAGCAACAGCACCGTGCAGCAGTGGATAGAACGCCTCAACCATGACGGCAACAGCTTGACAGTACCCCCCATCGACACCACCCGCGACGAGATTCAGAGCGACCTCACGAAATCGGATTCAGAGCGACCTCACGGGAAAAAACAAAAAAAAACGACTACTACACGGCCGTGTGGCCGCCACTATAGCGGGGCCATCGAGCGAGACGTGGAGTGGGTGCAAAGCCCGACCTCTGAGGACCATCAGAGGACAATCAGCAACCAGGCAACAGATCTCACCGCTGAGCAGCTGACGAAAAGGGGACAGAGAGCTGCCCCTGTCGGCGCGCTGTGCGCCTTCTCTGTCTGGGGACGTCGGGAGGTTGCCGTCAGGCCACAC